AAAAAATTTAATTAATTCATAAGCATAAGAATGGTTGCAAATTTTTTAAACTGTAATTTAACAATTGATCATTTTCTATACGATAATTATTATATTAATTCACGTAAACTGTTGTATAACTTTTACTAGTATAACATTAAAATGGTACAATAATAAATTCAAAAAATTTCTCACTACTAAATAAATAATAGAAAGAATTTATCATTTATTTGAAAAACCTTAATTATCAATAGAAATAAATGTTGAAATTACACGATTGTAATAAAAAAAAAAAAAAAAACATGATATTAGCCTTTCTTTTCATCACTCTTCCTAATTTTTTTTTTTAATATTTACTTTAAAAAAAAGAAATATTTAATACTTACTCTTTGAAAGTATTCAAATTTACTGCTAGATTTTTTTTTTAATAATATATTACTTAATTTATTATTTGAACTATTTAATAATTTCATAATTGAAAGTATTCAAATATCATTAAATATAATTTACTACATTATACATAGTTACTATAAATTTTTCCCTTAGCATATATTAAAAATAAACATTGATTAATTAAGTAATTCATTCATTTTCATTTCCTCATATTCCATCCATCCGATCATTCATTCATTCATTCAATCTTCATTTATTCATGCAAACATAAAATAAACACAAATACATCTTTTTCTCCTTGCTCTTCTAATCAGAATAGCAAAAGCTAATAAAAGCTATCTATGATGCTATCAGAATCATGCATAAATTTGCTACTTCTATATTATTAATACATCATAACAAACTTCAATTACCATTTCCGTATTAGCAAGTGGAGTATTAGCAATTAACGAATCCAAATGTGCTTCCAACATTTGCTGACATTCAGTTGATTGTATTTGCACGAAGAATAATGGCCATAATGATGATGCTATATCTTCATCTGATCGTGAAACCATATATCGATGTCCAAATCGTACATTTACATGTGAAAAATAAGCCTGAAATTAATATCTTTCATCAAAATTAATTATCTCAATAATTATGCTAAAAAAATATCATATATGAATATATTAGAAATTAGAAATTAACACTTAAAATACTTAAAATTGAATTAATTTTTAAAAAACTTATCAAATTTCAATTTTCAATCATATTTTTTTTCCTTTTTTTTTTTTTTGATATTTTTTGAAATAACTGCTTAATTACAGTAAGTATGCTTCAGAATAGTAACGTTGGAATTACCTTATATTTAAGTGCAATTGTTAAGTCATCTTTTTCAACATTAACATCATCATCATCATCATCATCATCATCATCATCATCATCATCATCATCATCATCATCATCATTATCATCATCATCCGAAAGCAATTTAATATCATAATCCAGATTTGGCATATTTTTTATCTAAATTAAAAAAAAAAAAAAACTTTATGTAACTTGATTGACACTAGAATTATACGCATATTTTCTGATAAATTTTAACCTTTTTAAATTGTATTTTTTCTCCATGTTACATCAATCATATCATATACTATCGATAATGATATCAAATTTTCATTTATCCATGATAATCGAGAAATCAACAAGAAAATTTGCTGAGAAAATTAGAATTTAATCATATTTTAATTCTATCATACACGATTTAAAAAATATGAAATTAAATTATTGCACTATATGTTGAAAAAAATTCCCGCCATTTTGTTTTATTAAACTATAAGTGTGAGTAAAAAATTTATTTTCAAATTTGAATCAACCTGTTTAACTTCTTCATCAGAATCAGAATTCATCGTTAGATAATTCAATTCATCGTCAGACGATTCATCACTCGTGTACAGCACTCTTCCTTTTTCATCACGTGGCTTATCAGTTGTTTTCTTTTGCTGCAAAAATAAACTGATTTATTTGAGATGCTTATCAGATACAACTTATCAGTAAGTAATATATTTTCAAAAGCACATTTTAAAATGAATGATTGAACAATTAAATCATAGATCTATATCAAACAGTTGGATTGAAATTATCTTCGAGAAGTTTGTTATTTTTTCTTTTTTTTCGCTACTGCTACCTCTCTCTCTCTCTCTCTCTCTCTCAGATAAACTGATAATGATAAAAAAAAAAACGTAATTTGCGCTTTTGCTATATCTTTTGTATATGATAGTTATTTCTTAGAAATTGTTCAATCATTTAGAAGGATGCATTTTTAGAAATGATATGAATATATGGAAATATCATACTTTAACAAGGTTTCAATCCGATATGTAAATATTTCTTTTCACTTATCTCTATATCAATTAAACTCTTAAATAAATGTGATAAGTGATAGAAAAATGGTAGAATTTACCATACTAGAATATTTTATATAGTGATAAATTTATACAAATATAACATTTTACGGAAAAAAAAGAAAAATTACATTCTTCAAAGTGGTAAACACTCCATTTAAAACAAAAAAAAAAGCGCAGAATTTCAAAATTTTCGAGAGTAAAAAAGATAAGTGACTAATCGGATACCTGTTCCATCTTTATTCCCTGAGCTAAAAACAAATGAGTTGGTGGTGTTGGTTGGCAATATCTTGTAAGATGACCAACTTTTCCACAAATCCAACATGATTCCGGCATATTCTCAAAGAGATATGAGAAGATTATTTGTTGAAGGTTAAAATTTGAATTTACAAAAATCAAAAATTTATCGAACATGAATATTGCAATACCTGATTTTGCGCTTCATGGGAAATTTTGACAGATTCAACATTGCTAGAATCATTTTCCATTTGACTATTAACATTTGAATGTGACGTGGAATTATCATTCTTTGCTAAAATAATACCGTATAGTATTAATTTTAAAAATTTGACAAGAAAACAAATCAATCGATTATTAAATACTTATTAAGAAATGGTTAGAACCTGATCGATGATAGAATTTAATTTGAATGCGGAAATGGTAACAAATAAGTTTGAAATGTGAAAATGATAATAAATTGATTTTGAAAATAAATTAATAGATTGAATAAATCATTTGGAAGTAATTTGTAAAAGTGAAAGAAGAAGAATAATAAACGAACTGCACATACCATTATTAATTGAATTTGATTTATGATTTATCATCATTATCTCAGTTTCTTCTTTCTAAAAAATAAAAAGTAATGCTTAGGTTTTTTTTTTTTTTTTTTTAAATCATTAAACGTTTCTGAAATTCTAACAATGAAGATAAGACTTAAAAATGATAATCCTAAGCGATACATTATAAGAGCAGTGCAGAAATTTTAAATAAATTACGAAACAAACTTCTCACTCATGACTGAAATTACTCTCTGAAACTACTATTTTGATTTAAAAGCATTGATTTTAACAGGTTTTATATGCACAAGGTCAGGAAGTCTTATATATATATATATATAAAGGTCAAGAAGTCTCATAAACAAAATCGATATGATGATGATGATGAGAACCAAACCGTGGAAGTTGTATTTCCATCAAATTCAAAACATGACACTGATGATTGCTGTTGTGCATCATTTCTATTCGAAAATTGGAAGTCTGAATATAGAAGGAAATAAATTCTTGAGAAATTCTTTCTATGAGCTTTATTATGCTTTTATAAAAAATATAATTAAAAATTCAAAAAATTCCCGAATGTTCCTAATTAATTATCTGCAATAATGCTTAATTATTCGTTAGATAAAATTATAATAAATTATGATATTTGTAGCATTTTTAGCATCTAAATTTCTTTTTATATTAGAATATAAAATTGATGTATGGGATGAAATAAATTAGTGAATAAAGAGCAGCTCAAAAATAGATTTAGAATTTAAAATTTTAAATATAAAAACTACTATGAGATCATTTAATTATTCTAATTTGTTACAAAATGTAAATTACTGTGAGAATTATTAATAGTTTTAAATTCTTTTCATTGACCTATTCCATTGTACAGTTATAATAATGTCAGTCGTAAAATTCACCTCAATGATTGACTGCTTTTTTTTTTCTTTGACCTCATCTGCATTCCTAACATACCTTATTTCTTACTTTCTATTTCTTGAGCCCCAATTAATTCGTATTTGTGCACTTACCATTAGTAGGAGAGTCGGATAGTGGTGATGATAGTTGGCTATCAGCATTTGAAGGTGTATTCGAATTCTGCATTATAAGTTACAATCATTTAACTATTAATAATTTCAATTTTTTTAAAAAAAAAATTTTTATAAATTTCAAACCTGAAGAATAAAACAAAAATAATAAAATAATTGTATAGAATCAAATGATACGATGGATTTTATTTGTAGAAAATGTAATTTGAATTGAATGAAAAAATTCTCTATCTATTATCGCAATAATCATTGATAAATGAATAAGATTTTATAGAAATAAATGAATTCAATCAATTTTGATAATAATCATAATCATAGATAAAAACCTGAACAGTTTACCTTAAATGATGAAGCGATCATTGATGAGGAATTGCCAGAAATTCTTGAAGTACCATGAAGATTATCTGGTGATGTGTATGTGAATGATTGCAAATGTGTAGCATTCAGACGTGATATTGTTGAATGTTGAAGAGACGTGTTATTTGAAGTGATGAAAGAACGTTGTTTAGTTTCTATATAAGCACCACAAAAGCAACATGATTTTAAAGTTTGATTTTCATAATCACGTTGTTGTTGTTGTTGTTTTGAACATATTACGCATCCTGTCACTATCATTGCACGTTGTTGACGTGATTGTTGACAAAATTGTTGAGTAAAATCAATAGTATTTCGTTGAACTGCAACAATATATAATCAAAATAAATATAGATAAAAAGAAATTGCAAATACTTCATGTTATTTGATGAGATCAATCGTTGAATGTCAACAAATTTATTTAATCCATCCAAAAGTAGCATCCAAATAAGTTCATTTAATCCCTTAACCTTTGACATTATGCAATCTTTTCTTGACATTATGAAATGTAATTTTTCCAGTGAAAAATTAATCAGATTTTTGTAAAATATAGCTTCTTATAAATGATTAACGATATTATAGCAATTAAGTAAATGATATTTAATTTTATAAATACGTGAAACAAATTCACTTATATATTTGCTCAGTTTAAAATACAATTAAAATTTAAAAAAAAAATTAAAATGCCATTTATTTAATTGCTATAATATAGCTAACTATTTATAAAATTAAATATCATTTACTTAATTGCTATAATATCGTCAATCATTTATAAAATTAAATACCATTTAAACTGGAAAATTTGACGAAAAAGATGATAAAAGAATGAACCCGATTGATTGATATGATTTGTATAGATGTGAGATTGTTGATGAGATTGAGGTGAATGATTTGCAAATGCGCATTTGTGATTTTCAATACCGTGAGAATAGCAACGTCCGCTTGGAATTACTATATTTGATTGTTGTTGTTGTTGTTGTTGTTGTTGATGATGATGAATATACTGCTTGGGATTTGTAACTGTTTGAAATCTAAGAATAATAAAAATTGAAAAATAATTTATTTAGAATAAATGTTATAAAAATCAGTTGCTTCTTTTTTTTTGCCGCTTTTTCTGTTTCAATACTTATAATAATTATAACAATGATGAATTTATAAGAAATGCAATGAAATTTAATATATATATGAAGTGAAATTTTTTAGCAAATAAATGTATGGTACCTTGAAGAGGCTATTTGTCCAAGTAATGGTAATGATTGGCAATTGGTACCATAACAAATCATATCTTTTCCATCACCTGCAGCAAATGATGTTGCTTGATCGTGCATTCCGTCCTTCGATGCTCTTTGCGTATTATTATTACTATTATTATTATTATTATTGTTATTATTATTATTGTGTTGATGTGTTTGCAGGAAAGGAAGCAAATTTTGGTTATCATTGGCTAACTGAAATTAACATCATTTTCAGTATAAGCATATGATAATTTTTAGAATAGTAATAATTATATTGAATTACATTTAGTCACTTTCGAGGTAAACCAAAAAAGCTTAAGCAATAAATTTAGCATATTAGTGATGAGAAAAAGTTGTTAAACTTTGTTGCATATTGCTAATTCAAGCCGCATTTTTTCGCATATATCATACATTTCCCTTGACTTAAGGCTCTGAAATTTTGCGAGCCCATATTTGCTTCGCTTACCTGTAAGCTACGAAAAGCATTGTATAATTCATCGATCCGACCGGATATTTGTGCTAATTTTATGCTAACTTTTACATCTAATGCTTTAACACTGTTCTCAATTCCTCTGAAATAATTATGTGTAAAATTTCAGCAGTTTTTTTTTCCTTATATTTCATTCATTTTATCACACTTACTTATATTTAAATATTATTGCATTGCAGTTAATATATGATACTTTCCTTTTAAAATTGCATTTATTATGAGGAATTTAGTATGCATACAATTATGTAAATATTTCTAATACAATTATTAATTTATTCCAAACTTTAAAAGCATCTTTTATATTTGTAGAAAAAAAAAAATTTTAAAATTTAATCACAGTATGAACGATCAAAAAAGAACAAACTGATTAGCCGACATCTGCATACCAATCGTTGGAAATATTGCTCTCATCTTCATCATCGAATTATTATCATCATAGTGATAACCGATATTATTATTATTATTATTATTAAAATTGTTATTATTGTCCAAAATTTCGTTACTTCGACTAATCTCATTGTTGTAACCTAACATTAATGATTGTGAATTATTGACTATTATGCCGTTCGAGTGATTTAAATTTCGTGGATATTGAAAATCAGCCTGAATATACATATCAACAGTTGCAATGTAGTTTGTCTCATCTTCTTTCCCAATTATTTGAAGAATATATCGTTCATCAATTGCAAGCTATAAATTAATTGTCATTTTGAAACAAACAACTATTTTTAATTTAGCTCTATTTAGTAAATAATTTAGAATGATATTATAATTTGTCACCTTTATCGTCAATAATTCTAAATCACCTTTTTTTTTTTTTGACAATACTATCTATACCTTCAATACATAAGCTTTTAAATTAATCACCACTATTAGAAATAAAATATAACTATTTCTTACTTCAACTTCTTCATTTATGCAACTAAAAAATCACTTATTACATTCCAAAAAATTCTTTAAATTAATCGTTATCACTTCTTTTACATTTTTTTTTTACTTATCTTCCTGCTAATTTGAATTAAAATCATCAATTCTATTTCAGTATATTCAACGAAGCATAATATCAGATTTCTTTCATTTTAAATAATTTAATCAACAATGAGCAAAAAAAAAAAACCTTTGCAGCATGAATTTCGCTTTCAATTGAATTTTTTCGATTTACAGCACATTTAAATGCTGCAGCATACGAATATAAAACTATTGGAGGCTGAAATTATGGTTACTTTATTTAAAATTATATTTCGTTATTTATTTAATTAATTTCTAGCAATGTTCTGCCACAACTGAAAATAAAAATACTTATCTGATTAGTGAGACTTGCAAGTTTTAAAAATAAACGCTCTTACCTGATCAGTAAGATCGAAGAGATGATGAACATCACAATATAATGTTTGACCATAATCAATCAGAAATACTGTACAACAACATTTTTGATTATCAAAATTACTTGCTACCGCACTGCAATAAATAGATTAATTTGTTAATTAATTAACAAAGAAATAATTAATTTTTTTTTGTGCAAAATATCACCAAATCAAAAAAGTTTAGAAGTAATTAGCTAGCTTTGAATAATTTAGGAAATGAATATTATTTCATATTCTCCGTATACTGCAGAAAATAAACATTTTAAAGTCGAAGGTAAAAAAAAAAAAAAGATAATATCATTTTAGATTAGGTCTGAATAATACCAAACAATTAAATCATCATAAAAGTATTTTATAAACTTTTTGGAAGCATTTTATAAAATGAATTTTAATTTATCAAAAGGGTGGATTTCAACATTTTAAATTTCGAAATTTAAAAACAAAATTTAAAAACTTTGTTCTTATGAAAAGCATGAAAATGGAGAAAAAATTAGCATGCCGTAAATTATTCTCCTCCATTTAATCCTTTTTATAATAGCGTAAATTTAACCAACCGATAATAACGAGACTGTTTACGTATTGGTCGTTGAATATGCGCAATACATGCTAATGAACGTTTCTCTTCAATGTATGGCCATAAACCATTAGATGGTAATATTATTTGCTTAAAGTATAATTTTCAAATTTTTTAATATTACCATTAAAAAAACAATAAAATTAAAGCTTATATTTATTGTACTTTTTTCGTGCTTAACAAATTGAGATGCAATCTAATAAAAGCATTGATAAAGTTATCATTGAATTACAGAAAATAACAATTGGAAGATATTAAAATCAATGAAGATTCGAGAAAATGATAACCTTTAGTAACTGATAACAACTAAATTGGTTATATGTGATGCCTTTATTTCGTTTTTTCTTTTTTTTTCAAATCTTTACATTTAAGCGCTATTTGATTTAAATCAGTTCAATTGAATAAATAATATAGTTTGAAATGTTGAATATTATCAAATTCATATTGAAATATGCTCAAAAAATTTCCTGATGCTTTGAATTATAAAATAAATCGTTAATATTGTCAAATTTTCCTTTCAGACGACAGAACGACGAATGTGATATTTGTGAAGTTACTTTTTTTTTTTTCTAATTGCATTAGATATCTGAAAAATTTTGATATTTTTTGATAAATGTAAATGATTACAAAATCTTATTAGTTTTTTTTGAAAAAAAATTTCACTTTTCTTCTTGTTTTTTTTTTTAAATGATTTAAATAAAAGCAACCTTGCTAATAATGGAACAAATAGAAGCATTGCGAAGCCAATAATGATTTTCATCAATTTTTTCCGTTACTTGTACAGTTAATGTAACTGGGAACGGATTTTCCAAAGTGAATTTTTTGAATGAAAATGTTGATGGACAATATAGTGGATAAATTGGATGACTCAAAGAGGTAATATCTGATAAGCCCTATAAGATAATTATTGATTATTAATGATAAAAACATTAAATTGTCATTTAGCATTAGATATCTATGACATATGGCTGGATGACAAAATTAAAAAATTATATGCAAATTTTTGAAATGCCTTCTATTTTTAAACAATGGAAATTAAATTTTATTCAAATTAGTTATCCGTTAATTTTTGATTAGTTTATTGTTAATGGAATAAAATTTTACTTTAAAGAAATTACATCACTCACCTGATAAAGAAAATTATAAATGTAAAAATATTTTTTGCGTATTTGTTACCAACATTCTTGTTCATTATTAACTTATTAATTGTATCTTCACACTTTGTTTTTATCATTTGATTAGTAAGAATTGTTAATCAATTAATTGATTAATTAATATTAATCTAACAAATTCTGATTATTTTTGATTCAGTAATATGAAATTTAAAATACAACAAATAATTTTTCTTTTCCTGTTAATATTTAGGTGCTATCAAACTGTGATTTCAAACATTACAGTTTGATAGTACCTAACTATTAATCTATTAGTTCAGATCATCGAATGAAGATTAGCATTTTATTTGATACAAGCATTTACTCAGCTTAATCAGAAAATGTCATCAGAAACATTTCTTTTCTTTCCTAGATTTTATAATTACAAAATGTCGTCCGTTTTTGAATTTTCATATTTAAAAAAAAAAAAAGGAAAACGGATTACGCATTTGCAAAATATTTCATCACGCAGTGATGTACCACCAAAAATTCGAGCTAAAAGAGGTGGCGGATAACGTGAATTTATAAATTTTGGATAATAGCCATCCTTTGATAGCGATAATGATTGGCCTAAATAAAAACAGTTTGCAGTGTGCTGGAGCAGCAAATATTAACTGTGTTTAAAGTAATTAATTATTAATAATGCAACGAATTGAGAACAATCAATTAATTCTAAATTCTGAATTCATGAGATAATTGTCCACTTTAATTTAATTTGAATTTTTTCTTTTTTTAACCGAATCTTTATTCCAAAACATTGTAAATTATTTTAGTAAGAAAAACAAAAAAATTTAACATTTCACACTGGTTTACAGTATTTCAAATAAATTATGCAATACAACAAATGATCTCTAAAATGTTTATCATTTCAAAAAATCATAGAATTATGAAATTTACCTTGATAAAAAGATGATAACGAAAATATGCACGTGGAACCGATATTAAGCATCGAGAAGTGATCTATATTGCAACTAACCGAGCGTTCATAACCAATACGACAGTTTGTCAGTACCAAAGGTACCGCCATTGGTGGCATTGAATAAAGTTGTGCAGGTAATAAGTAAATCGAACGTTGATCAACGAATTCAATTTGTCCAATATCGATTAGATACATCTAAAAAAAAAATATAAAAAAGCTGTAATTTATACACTTTTCTCATTAATTTATCCTAAAAATTTACAATGTATTATAATGAATTATGATGAATTTAAAATATCAAAATGCAAGAAAAATTTTTTGATTAAATGAAACGATCATGTTGCTGAAGAATTGCTATGATTATATCATGATAAGATATTCAAGAATGGAACTACATTACTCGAATGGATCAATCTTATTTAGCAGTTAGCATAGCATGTTCCTTATCTCAAAGATATCAGTGTAAAAATCAATATCAGATAGATTCAAATAAATATGAATTTTAAAGCAAATTTCAGTCAAAGATAAAATTCGAATTCTAAAAGATTATCAGATCATATTTATAGCTTCAGCATAGATTTCAGAAATAAATAAGCAAATATGCAAATTTTTTTTTTACATTTAAAAAAAAGGAGAACGGAATAATTTGCTGCTTTTAATTCTATTTCAAATTTTTTATTTATGGAATATATCCTTGTGAAGCTATCTGAATAGATTTAATTTCACTTTAATGGCTAAAATTACAAGCGGTTTTGTTATGCAGACGAGATAAGTTAAAAATAAAACCTTTTAATTAAAATTAAATTTCATTTTCCAGCTAAGTGTTTAGTGAAAAAATTGTACTATTTTAAAGGATAAGTTTAGTAAAATATGATCTGGTAATAATTTCAGACTTCGAATTAGATTTTGCTTAAAATTTGATGTTGTTCTCGTTTATTTAAATTTGTCTGATACTAATTGATCCTATACTGCCAAATTTCTAGTAATTTCAAAGACTATCAAGACAATAGCGCATACACAACACATATGCGACAGTAGCTCATATATGCAGAACCAATCAACTCTAATCACTGATAATTACTGATAACATACTTGGTTAGATGGAGTTTTGTCGTAAGCCCGGTGTAGTAGAAATATATAAACTTTTGATTTGATAGGATATCGTGAGCAGCAGAAAAGACAAAAACACATTCAAAGTTAAAAGTAACGTGCATAGTAGTGGTGATAAGGTAAGTTTCATAGTTGACACATATGAAATTCTTATCAACCGTAATTATCTATTTCAAGAGTTAAGTCGGTGAATGGAAAGATTATAGTTTGATAATAGTAGTATATAGTATGAAAAATATTCAAATTTTCATTTACATATAATGAGAAGGTAAAGAAGCAAACAGAACAGACAAAAGTAAACAGTTTTTCGAGTGCGCTCTTAATTATAAAATGTAATAGTAAAAAGTAATTATAAGCTAAATCTAACCGATCATTGCATGAAAAGCACATAGCTCATACTCTTAACAGAAACGTTTGATAGATGATAAATTGGCCAGTAGAAAAAAATTGACTTTAACTATCTTCCATATATTATACTATTCTTTAAATTCAATTAGACCCTATTGAATGAGAGCTATGGAAAAACACAACAAAAGTGGAAGCAGAAAGTTATACTGTATTTAAGGTATTATTGATATGATAAAGAAAATAATCAATTCAAATATCAGATCATATGATCAAAAATTTTGAATAAAATGATCAGCTTGAAATAGAATGTCTAAAATATTTGCCATGGAATAAACTAATGTAAAAATTATATTTCATGGAAAAATAAAGAATGTCTTATTAAAATATTTTGAAAAATCATTTCTCTAATAAAATTTTTTCCGATAATAGACAATAGAATAACCATGTATGAAAAAAATTATTATTTCGAAAAATTTAATTTATCCATTCATTGATTAACATATTTTTTAAATTTCCAAAATTTTAAGAAGCTTAAAGAAAAAAGCAACAACAACAACCTGCCACTGTGTAGCCGTTTGCCAGTTAAAATACATATGAGCACATACACCACGAGCCAAAACGTTACTGACTTGTCGACGTATTAAATAAACATCTCCTTTAAAACCAAAAAAAAATAAAAAACAACCACATACCAAA